ATGCAGGTGCAGCATACGCAGCGGTGGAGAAGGCAAGAGCTAGAGTGGAGGTGTGAAGGGTGGTGAAATCAGCTCCCCATCCGGTTCCTGCAAGCTTCTTTAGGAAAGACGCTCCTGCTTGGGTCTTTTGAGCTGTGGCTTTGGCATGCTCGTGGAAGGTGAGGCTTCGATCAAGAGGGACATCTAGGTACATTGGTGTGGGGTCGATATTTAGCCTAGACCCATTCAGTAAGATATTCAACTCTCGGTTGGCGCATCAGTTTGCCAGATGGAAGACGGAGGATACTGTCTTCGGTATGCTCATCTTGAGATGCCATCTGTAGACGAAATCAGCTAGCATCTTCAGGTCCTTCTCCAGTGATGTTTTGATTGCCTCAAAGCACTGCATGCATTCCCCTTGGGCGTATATCAGAGACATGGATGTTGGAAAGTATCGGGGCAAGACAGAGCCTTGCGGCACACCATTCCGGAGTCTACTCTTCCTACTGCATCCGCCGTTTGATGTTTCAAGAACAAATGACCAATCTTCTACAAGAAGCATGATGAATTTTACAATTCTTACATCTGGAATGGTCTGCAGGGTCTTGAGGTATAAAGCTACGGTGCCATACTGTGTCAAATAAGGTAGACAGGAACTGCACCAAACTTCTGTTGCTTCTGGAAAGCCGTCTCTATGTTGTTTACAAGCCGGACCACTTGGTCGGTGGTTGATTTACCTTTCCTGAAACCTGTCTGTGTAGTAGGTAGCTTCTCTTGGACAGTGTCAACGATTCTGGCAAGTAGCAGCCTTTCAAGTAGATTGTAGATGTGAGATAGCAGACTGATTGGACGATAGCTCTTGGGTTCGTCTGTAGGCTTCTTGGGCTTCAGAATGGCAATAACTTTAGCAGTCTTCTATTTTGATGGAATAGTGGATGTTGTCATGCAGGTAGAGAGAAAGGCTTGTAGCCAGGAAGTAGCTTTGTGACTCATGTTATTGCGGAACACTGTGTGGATGTTATCACTGCCTGGTGACGTGCCGGGCTTTATTGATTTCAGTGCAGTTTCAACCTCATCCAAGGTGAAGGCTTCAGATATGGAGGTTGACTCTGGAGTGGACTTGAGGAGGTTCTTTATCTCAGAGTCACAGAGCGAGAGTGGGTTTTGGCCTCTGTAATTTTATCTTGCCACTTTCCATTGTTAACTAGGACTGAAGTAATGGAGTTCCCTTAACAGAACACTGTTTTGGAGCACTGCTTCGACCAGTGTGTTTGTTTATGGTAGTCCAGGCCTTGCGACTAGAGTGGGTAAAGTTGATCTCAGAGACTTCTTCTTCTCATCCAATCTTCCTCATTTCTCCTAGTAATAGCAGCAGGTTGTTCTCTACAGCCTTTCTTTCTTCAATGGTCTTGGACTTAGTGCAGGATACATACGATCGCATTCTTCGTCCCAGCATGGAATATACGGTGTCTTTTGCTCCTGGGGATGAATAGCTTTGCCGCCTGATGTAACATGGAGCAGAAAGCAGAGTAGGAGTCATTCACATTGCTGGTGGAGGGGTTTGGCAGTAGAGATGTTATAGTTTGTTTGCGAGTTCCTGGAACTTGGGCCAGTCAGCTTTTCTGAAATTCCATCTCTTCTTTGGTAGGTTGGAGAGTTGAAGCTTCATGTTGCTTGAGATGATGATTGGACAGTGGCCAGACCTCGGGAACTTTAGAAGGACAGTTCTTGAGCAGGTGTGTCTGATGTTTGATGAAACCAGTGACAGATCGGGGCAAGTTCATGATTTGTTGCACCCTGAGTAGAATGTAGGGTTGTCCTTGCTGTCATACAGTATCACTAGCTCCTGAGATTCAAGCCATTCAAAAATGAGCTTTCCATTCGTGTTGGTCTTAAGATATCCCCAGACAGTGTTGCGACTGTTGAAATCTATGCAGACAAAAGAGTTCCGGGGCAACTTTGGGAAGAGTATGATTTCAACATCTACAGGTGGTGGCTTATAGAAGTTGCAGAAGTTGGTTCCCATAGCTTCAAAGGTGCTTCATTGTAGAGCTGAGTTCACAGGAGATCGCTCGGTGGTGGATGCTTTCAACCAGTTGATCATCCCATGTGGAAGTGTCCAAGGTGTTTCATAAAGCTGTTTGTAAAGTTACGCATGACTTTACGAACAACTTCAATATGAAGTGCCAGATAGGATGCCCAAAGTTTTTCCTGATGTTTTAACAAAGTGTTACTATATTTCCAATAACCTGAATTAAATTATAGCAAAAAATGTACTTTGTATTAAAATGCTTGTTTTATCTGCACAGTTCAACTTTAGTTGATGCAAATAAAAATTATTGAGCATCCCATTTGGCTTTTCATATTTAAGTCATTCATAAAGTCATGCATGACTTTACGAACAGCTTTATGAAACACCCCCCTGGACTGTCATCTATGTAGTAGTAGTAGTAGTAGCTGTCTGTCGCAAAGTGACAATGACCGCCTTCACTTTCATTTCATGAAGGCTGCTTGCAAAGGTGGGTAAGTACCAGTAGCTCTTGCAAGTTACTAACAGCACTCTCTCGGGGAACTGGTGGCAGTTTCACACCGGCGGGTGTGAACCACTAGAACCTGCAGTGACCGGTCAAAGGATGTCAGGAGATCCGTATTGTCAAACGCCCTCAATGCTGTCACGGTGGCATGGTTTTTTGTTAGCGTTTCCTCCTTATGCTACGGTCATAAAGATTCGTACGAAGATAATTTTGTACGAATCTCCGTTTTTCCATTGTCTTCCCGAATTTCCATTGTCTGAAAATCGTTTGTACGGCGTTCGTATCAGTTCGTAATGGCATTTGTGACCGAGGCTTTAAAAACCTCGGTCACTAATGCCACTAGTATCATCCCCAGTCGAACTACTCTCCTGACCATCTGTCTGAGTCAAACCACTCTCAGGTGAACTACTCTCAAATTATCAACCTGAGACAACCTTCCTTCAGAATTATCAATCTGAGGCAAATGTCTCTCCCAATTTAGAAGAGGATTATCTACCAAACGAACATGTTCTATTTCCTGAAGAACAAGATCAAAGACTGGTGATTTAACACACAATGCTCCTGCGGTTCCTACACAGAAAGGGGACCTAATATCTATCCTAGCCACAGAAAATCGCCAAACTGTCCCACCTATAAGAATTACACTCAATCTACGCGTGACTAACAATTTCCTAACAACTTGCCATGAACATTCTGTATCGTGCAGAACACTATAAACAACCTGAGATCCTATCTTCCCATCTACTACTGGCAATTTGCTCCTTAGCTAAAAGCTGACATGCAGCCCACAGTACCGATTGAGCTTTTATACTCTCCTCAAAGTAGTCTGCACAATGTGCATCAACAACTACAGATAATACAAACAACAGTCCACATGTGTCGGTATTATCAGGTTCTGGGCTACCAGGCAAACACTAGGGATAGTCAACCTTTCCTATCTCTGCTTTAGTACCAGAATTCCTCTTAGCCTTACTCTTGTCTACTTGACCTGCAGCAAGTAACCTATGCTTACAATTATTAGCAAGATGTTCCAAAAATAATTTTCTTAGTCACCGACAGAGATCTGGAGTCACCATTATTCCTCTTCTTATCTCCATGAGATGATTTATCTGGAAATTTCTGTTTCCTACTATCAAAATGCCTGGGCCTACCATTCCCAAATTGACCAAAATGAGCCACAACAAATGTATCAGCTAACCATTTCCGAAACCGACTGAGGCTTTCGTTCTTTCAGAAACATTGCTAAAGAGGGGCCACCCTTCTCAATGAGCTGTTGCTTTCGTTCTTTCAGAAACATTGCTAAAGAGGGGCCATTCTTCTCAATCAGCTGTTGCTTTCGTTCTTTCAGAAACATTGCTAAAGAGGGGCCATTCTTCTCAATCAGCTGTTGCTTTCGTTCTTTCAGAAACATTGCTAAAGAGGGGCCATTCTTCTCAATCAGCTGTTGCTTTCGTTCTTTCAGAAACATTGCTAAAGAGGGGCCATTCTTCTCAATGAGCTGTTGCTTTTGTTCTTTCAGAAACATTGCTAAAGAGGGGCCACCCTTCTCAATGAGCTGTTGCTTTCGTTCTTTCAGAAACATTGCTGAAGAGGGGCCATTCTTCTCAATGAGCTGTTGCTTTCGTTCTTTCAGAAACATTGCTAAAGAGGGGCCACTCTTCTCAATCAGCTGTTGCTTTCGTTCTTTCAGAAACATTGCTAAAGAGGGGCCATTCTTCTCAATCAGCTGTTGCTTTCGTTCTTTCAGAAACATTGCTAAAGAGGGGCCACCCTTCTCAATGAGCTGTTACTTTCGTTCTTTCAGAAACATTGCTAAAGTGGGGCCACCCTTCTCAATGAGCTGTTGCTTGAGCAACATGTTTATAAGACCTTCAAAGGACTTTTCTGTCTCAGACAACTCCATCCACCTATCTAATTTTACTTCTACGACGATACTCAGCAGGATCCATAAGTCAGGATGTAGTGCCGAGGAAGTGTCCTAGGTAGTGTCCTATCCTAACCAAGTACTGACTTGGAGTCTCACCTGACTCCAGAGAAAATCTAAATTTCTTACGGATATCATTACAAGTTATATTCCGTTGTAGTATTACACTTTCTCTAAAATCCACTTTATCCACCTAGTATTTTGTATTTCCTAATGCCAGCCCGAATAATTGTCTTCTCATTTTTCTATCATTATCTTTTTTAAAGTAAATTTCCCCACGGACCCCCATTGAAAATGGTTTAACACAGTCGCTAATTTAAGATAAGATTTTCCCAGCGTGTAGGCTGATTTGAAGATACCATTAAAAAAATTGGCCCAGCAAGCCGTGACTCAAGTGTTTTCCAGCACGCCGCAACCCCAGTGTGCAGTATAAGCTGATTGAATGTGTAAACTTACTTGCAAAGTTGACATTAGTAGATTGAATGTGTAAACTTAATTGCAAAGTTGACATTAGTAGATTGAATGTGTGAACTTACTTACAAAGATAGAATGTGTCAACTTACTTGCAAAGATGAAAATAGTCGATTGAATGACGTAGGTGAATGCTAACGCTAGAGTATTAGCTAGACAACTCAAGATAGAGATCTGTATTATCCACAGGTAGCCAAGTTTGCACCATTGGAAGATGCCGGCTCCACTTACTGTACCTGAAACACACAAGCAATGCAATGTAATAGCACACTGTGTAATGTCACTTTCAAAATGATTTTTCCCCAATTTGTTTAACAATTGTTCCTACATTAAACAAAAAAGGAAACTTAACTCTATCTAGCCCGGGGGGGGGGGCTTTAGAAGCCCCCCCCCCCCCCTCGACATTTTTTGCGATAATTTTTTAACGCAAGAAAATCTTGAACTGAAATTTTGTGACTTTTTTCTTTCAAGTCTTGCGCATCTTTTGGAAGAAATTTTTCGAAAATCGGACCTACCATTACAAAGTCACGTGTCCTTTTTTCTTTGCATGTCAGCCCGAAAATCGCTCATTTTTGTGATTTGTGTACAAAACATATGGAAATCTCATTTTTCAAATAAAGAGATAAAACATTGGTTATTTGGTCTTGTTTATAGTTAGGTGTTTATTTTAGGGTCAAAATAGTTGGATTATAGTTGGAAATGAAATAAAACAACAAAAACAATAGATAACATAAGGAATTTTGTGTTGTATTATTATTCCAAATGGTCTAACAAATATATGTAGTGAAAAAGAATGCTTAAATATGAATAATGTCTGATTTATGGGCACAAATGTGAATTTTATGACCTTATTTGCAAAAATTACCATAAATATGCAAATGAATGAATTTTTCAAAAAATTGACATTACCATAGTGGTCTATACACTTCACTTGACATGTATGCAAATTTTCGCGGCGATCGGTTGTTTCACGGCCGAGATCATGGGGGGGGGGCCTTAGAAGCCCCCCCCCCCCCCCCCCCCCGGGCTATGCAGTTTCAAAATAGCCCGGGCTATATAGGGTTAAGACTCTACAGTCTTGGGTTGCACATCATCTACTATAAATGAGAGAAGGAGCATATAGCAACAGAGAAAAGGTCATCCGGGATCGGAGAGGAAATACAAATTTCCTCCTATTCTTGGGAACCACTTCTATCTTTACTAATCCAATGGTTCACCTATAATAGCCGGAAAGCCGTCGTGACTCGTGAGCGATGCATATTCTAATCCATCCCTTAAAATTTAAATTGCACTGCCCCCATATTAAACATTCCATCTCATTCAGCAATAATAGAACACGCCCTTAATACTGAACACAACATTCAATGGGATGATACCCACATTATTGAGTTATCCATCTGATAGATGATTGGTCTTACCAATGCCTGGTATAGCTAGTGAAGTAGTAATATAGAATCCAATAGTTACTGAGTCCCAGCAAAAGGGTTGTCCTTGTCCATAGAGCATGGTGATCGGAATCCCACCTTGGATCACGATACCAACTAGAAGAGTCATAGCAAACATGCTCAGCAGGAGGTACAGGCGATTATCTGTTTGAAATAAAAGACAATCATGATATTAATAATACAATAATATGTTTGTATGCATATCCAGGGAATCAGCATTGATCAGTGCTGTTCTTACACGAGGGCCCTGTAAATAGATCAGATCAGCTCACATAATTATAATTCAAACTATACACTTATACCCAAGACTCTATCCTCCCCTGCCATCAGAATGCATGTTGCATTATAAACTACATGTAGTTGTTAATTCAGGCAAATCTTATCACTCCAAAATTCCAAGGTCCACAAGGTTTTGGTATGGGGTAATGAATTTGGTTCAAATGAACATATTGGAAGCATATGCGTTCCTACACTATCCATTGATCGTTTTCGCTGTTGAAATCGAGTCTAAAGTTATGAAATTATAAATAATAAACTATTTATGATGTATAGCTCCCTCTCGAGGTCAAGATATTAATTTAGCTATGAAATGATGTTTCTTGACTAAAATCGACCGATTAGCTATTCTCGTTTGGAAATTGTATATCACAACTACATATTCTGAGATTTTCATGGTCGCAGCTACCATTGTACGGCCATAGGCGCTATCTGAAATTTATCAAAATTTACCGGGAGCACCGGTAAATTTTTTAATTCAATTTTTCTCGAAAACAGAAGTGTTTTGGGGGCTAATTTTTTTAGTGCTTATAATACATCCACAGGGGCATCCAAATATATCAAATTGTAAAGATTCCCTTTCAACCCAATTTTCAAAATTTCCCAAAACTTTGCATTACCTTTAAGTCAGTAGCTAATCAACATTTATTAAATCCCCTATCGTTAATTTTGTATATATATGTTAAATTCTATGGGGAGTAGTCTAAATAGAATTTAACAAATATACAAAATTAACGGTAGGGAATTGTTAGAATTTCTACTATAATTTTATTCGCTTTCCATAATGCAACCGGTAGAATTTCCTGACCATTTTCTGTTATACCTCACTCAATTAACATAAGATTGATCCCAAAAATTGGATTTGCCAAACTTTGTGAAGTACTATAGAGTGTATGTAAAGCATTATCCTTTGTTGTCATCTGAATTTGAAATAATGTATACTCATTCAATTATTCCATCACTAATACATAATCATTTCAATCCTTCTATCATGTGATGTTTCATATTTGTTATCACCCTTTAATATAAAAAAAAAGTATACATTTTGTAGAACAAATGAAGTGAATGAACTTTTCACAAATGAATACAATATTAACCTGTTTTTACACGAAATAGATTAATGATGTCTCTGAGAACTTCAGCCAAATCTCTCCGCTCTTCTTTTGACTTGGGAACAATAGTTTCTATGAGGAGCCATGGTATTCCAGCGTTAATAAGACTCAGGACCATGGCAGTGAATGGCATCCAAAGGCTTAGCCCAAAACCAAGTGACTTGATCATGTATCCCAAGCCGATCTGCATTGCTCCTATACCAGCAAATGCGAGAATCTCCACGATGACGATTCTCACCATCCGTTGTTTCTCCGTCGTGATATCAGTGATGTACGCAAAGCACCCAGCCATAAACAAAGACATGCCTCCGCAAAGACCACAGAACACATTCACAAACAGTAGGTAACTCAGAGGAAGACAGAGATAAACAACACAGAGCTGCCCAACACACTGACCTAGGAATCCTATACACGGTAAGAGGATAGGCATTCTTCTACCGTACCGCTCACTGAGCGAACCGATGATCAAAGTAGAGAAGATACTTGGAAGTGCAGCACAAGTACAAAGATAAAGAGTCCACTTTGATGTGATCTTCTGTATTTCCTCTTCTATTTCCATAGTAGCATTGCCTTGATTACATTGTGAACCGTTCGATTGCGTTGTGTTGCCATAGAGATCTAAGCTTACACGCTGTCTGATGTACTGTCCTGAGAGTGTGGCCATACCCCCATAGCTAGCCGCAACGAGGATCACAATGAACTCAACGGTAACCCAACGCCGACGTGCCCGATCCCGTCCACATTCTGATTCTTTGATGATAGGCTCTGTCATGGCCGCCGGTCTTTCTTGAGATGTACAGTCCATCAAGTCTTCAGCCTCGTCATCCTCAAAAGTGTCCCTCTTTTCCTTTCCTGCCATGACTAATCTATCAGAAAATCGTGAAGCGTACTTCCTTGAGAATCTACGAATAAACAATGATAATAAACAGAAATAGGTCACAAATGGTAATTCAAGTTCAGTTATGAGATACTCATTATATGCGGTATAGATTAAAATCAATATCCCATGAACATTCGATTGAATTGTCTAAAATTGGTAAACAATATATATGAGAGCATTTGAATTGATCTTTATTTTATTCATCATTAAAAAAGCATAACAAACATATAAAATACAAAACATAGCATACAAGTTAAAGAGAAACATGTACAATAGAATACAACAACAAAATTATATATGAATGTGGAGGCTTTATTGGTGCTGCATGCTGCCACCAAAACAGTAATAAAGTATAATAGTAAGATTAAACAAGAACTTACCATTTGAAGTTTGATCTTTATTTTATGAATATTTAGGAGGAAGTTATTACATGAGATCCTGTCGCGCATGCGCAGTCAATATTCAAAGCTACAAATGTGGCTAATCTTAGTAGTAAGGAACAGGGAACTTACACTTAAGTTTGAAGTTTGGGTGGGTGAGGAGGGCATGTAATAACTTCCTCCTAAATATTCATAAAATAAAGATCAAGCTTCAAACGGTAAGTTCTCGTTTAATATTAATATTTCATATCATATTTCTCTGTTCGTAATTACATGAGATTTTGAAGCATAGTAGCCACATTTTGGAACAACCAACATGTACTGAAAAGTGAACACTGATTATGCAGATTGAATTGAATGCTTCTAACCAATGAATCACCATATTTGATAGTTATTGTAGTCTGTTCATACATGTGGCAAAACATTTCACATACAAAACGTCCATATATAAGACGTCATAATGTTGCAAAAACATTGTTCGTTTCTATATCTAGTTTATTCTAGCCATCTGGTTTCTTAATCCCAGTTCTATTATTTAGACAGCTGGTCTCTTAATGCCAATTCTAGTGAAATGCCTTCTGATGCAGTTCTTAAAGCAGTGTGCTATCTTGTGAGACTGCCTGGGTAAAGTTTCTCTTGTTTTCAAAAGGTTTCCTGTAGAACTTCCTGAACGTTTTCTCTGAAGACCATCCTGCTCGGGCTAGGATCTGGTCCATTGGAAGTGCTGCCTCGGCAGCTGCTGAAGTTGATGCTGCCCGCGTTGAATGAGCCTTATAAACGTTTGTATCCACACCTGCTCTTTGCAAGCAGGTCTTGATCCAACGAGATAAGGTTTGAGTTGTTACTCTATTATGAGGTCTGGTGTAACTTACAAAGAATGAGTTCTTATTCCCACGAAGTGGTCCTGTGCGCTGGACATAATGTTTCACAATACACAATCTTTTATCAGGTGGATATGCTTCCAATTTAAACTTAAAATTGGTTTTCCTGGTTTGCTTTGCTTCAAGTGTTCATCCAATTGAAAAACCACAAAGCCCCCTTTCAGGGTCATCTTGTTAGTCTTCAATATATGCAAGGTTCGCACTCTCTGTGCCGATACAAGAGCCATTAGCATACATACGTTGAGTGTTAAATCTCTGAGGTTTAAGGAGTTTACTGGAGACAATTTTTTTTAGAAAATCGAGGACTGGACTAATATTCCATATTTCTGTATATCTAGGTAAGACAGGTCTGAGTTGAAAAACACCTCTCATCAGTCTGGTTATAAGAGGGTGAGTACTTACTGTCTGTGGATAAAGCGCTACGAGCTGTATTGATCGCACTGTAGCTAATGTTCCTGTCATGGAATAAACTACTAAGGAATTCTAATACCGTTTCCACCTCGGCTTGGAGGTAACTCGTATTCCTGCTGTGGCAAAATCTTCGCCACTGTGTGATGTACACTTGGTACTGCTTGCAGGTTGATGCTCTCCATGAAGCTGTAATGATATCCACTTTTTTTCTGCTAAGTCCCCAATTCTCAAAGTGTTGCCGCATAACCTGCAACATAAGAGGTCAATATTAGCATTAAGAGGGTGGGTGGTGTTTGGCACAGGAAGGAGTAGCAAATCTTCTTGCCTCTGGATAAACAATGGCTCTCCTTCCATCATGCTAACTGAGGGAACCACGCCTGAGTGGGCCAATTAGGGACCAGAAGTAACCCTCTAGCTTTATCCTCTCTGATTTTTTGCAAGCATTTGGGGATCTGTCTTTGACACAGGAAGGAGTAGCAAAGCTTCTTGCCTCTGGATAAAAATGGCTCTCCTTCCATCATGCTAACCAACTGAGGGAACCACGCCTGAGTGGGCCAATTAGGGACCAGAAGTAACCCTCTAGTTTTATCCTCTCTGATTTTTTGCAAGCATTTGGGGATCATACAGAATGGTGGGAATGCATTGAATGCATAAGGTTTCCAATCTAGCGTAAATGCGTCAACTGCAAAAGCCCCAGGGTCTGGGTGCCAAGTGACATATTTCTCTACTTGAGCATTTAGTCTTGAGGCGAACAGGTCTATTTCTGGTACACCAAAGCGGGAAACTATTCTGTCGCACACTTGTCTGTTTAGTTTCCATTCTGTTCGATCATTAAATTTCCTGGATCTTTCATCTGCTATGGAATTGAGTCGACCAGGTACCTGGGCTGCAGTGAGCCAAATATTACGAGAAATGCACCACTGCCAAATTTCTCTTGTCATCTTGTCACACATTGCTGACTTGCAACCTCCCATGTGATTTAAAGGAGCCACTGCAGTGGTATTATCTATTCTTACCATCACATGCACGTTACGCTTATTCATGCAAAAGGATTTTATCCCCAACCCAGCAGCTAGGGTTTCCAGGAAATTTATTTCATTGTTTCTTGCCCTTTATGCCTCGAATTCATTCCAACGACCCCCTGTTTGCTTCTGGAGGTCAGTAGCTCCCCATCCAAGGCCACTGGCATCTGTGTGCAATTCTAAGTCAGGTTTTTTCCTAACAATTGGGGAGGAGGCCATAGAAACATTGTTCATCCACCACTTAAACTCCTCTTTGGCCTCAAGGGACAACTTCATCTTTCTGTCAAAATGACCCCTGTTTTGTCTGAGGGCTGCAAATTTGTCCCTTTCCATAGATCTGTAGTATAAGGGGCCATACTCAACCACCGGGAAAGTTGCTATGACCTTTCCAATCACTTGTGATACCGGCTTTCATCGAAAGGGTGCGGTGCGGTGCGGCGCGGTGTGCTCAACGCACCCATTCGATAAAAGAGGGGGGCCTTTTCTCGAAAGGGTGCGTTGAGAGCGGAGTACCGTTTTAACACACCCTTTCGATAAAAGCGGGGGGGGGGGCTTTTCTCGAAAGGGTGCGTCGACTAGTCTTTCGCATCAGTCGCTTAAAATGAGGATCTCGGACAAGGTAATAGTTGCCAATTTAAGTATATCAAAAATGTATTAAATAAAATGGAATGGTCTTGATTTCGTTATTACTATTACTAGAAAGAAGAGGAAGAAGAAGAAAAGAGGGAAACGGGGGCAAAGGGCTTTTGCCTCCTCCCTCCCCCCCCCCCCCCCCCCCGACAAATAGTAGAGAGAGAGAGAGAGAGATAGAGAGAAGGGAAAGGGAAAGGGAAAGAGAAGATAAAAGGAAAGAAAGAAGAGGAAGAAGAAGAAAATAGAGGGAAACGAGGGCAAAGGGCTTTTGCCTCCTCCCCCCCCCCCCCCCCGCCAACAAATAGTAGAGAGAGAGAGAGAGAGAGAAGGGAAAGGGAAAGGGAAAGAGAAGATAAAAGGAAAGAAAGAAGAGGAAGAAGAAGAAAAGAGGGAAACGGGGGCAAAGGGCTTTTGCCTCCTCCCTCCCCCCCCCCCCCCCCCCCGCCGACAAATAGTAGAGAGATAGAGAGAAGGGAAAGGGAAAGGGAAAGAGAAGATAAAAGTAAAGAAAGAAGAGGAAGAAGAAAAGAGGGAAACGGGGGCAAAGGGCTTTTGCCTCCTCCCCCCGCCAACAAATAAATAAGAGAGAGAGAGAAGGGAAAGGGAAAGAGAAGATAAAAGGAAAGAAAGAAGAGGAAGAAGAAGAAGAAGAAAAGAGTTAAACGGGGGCGAAGGGCTCTTGCCTCCCCCCGCCAAAAGTAAATAAGAGAGAGATAGAGAGAGAAGGGAAAGGGAAAGAGAAGATAAAGGGAAAGAAAGAAGAGGAAGAAGAATAAGAAGAAAAGAGGGAAACGGGGGCGAAGGGCTCTTGCCCCCCCCCCCCGCCAAAAATAAATAAGAGAGAGAAGGGAGAGGGAAAGAAAATATAAAAGGAAAGAAAGAAGAGGAATAAGAAGGAAAGAGGGAAACGGGGGAAGGGCGAAGGGCTCTTGCCCCCCCCCCCTCCCCCCGCCAACAAAATAAATAAGAGAGAGAGAGAGTGAAGGGCAAAGGAAAGAAAATATAAAAGAAAAGAAAGAGGAAAAAGAATAAGAAAAGAGGGAAACAGGGGCGAAGGGCTCTTGCCTCCTCCCTCCCCCCCCCCCCCCCCGCCAAAAAATAAATAAGAGGGAGAGAGAGAATCTGTTCTGATCCTGGTCCTGATCCTCAAGAGGGATATAAAGATGACCAATAAGAACGTTATCGTTCTCGAGAGAGTGTTTGTTGCTTCTAGAACATTTTAGAATTAATAAGTCCCATCACATTGCAGTTGTGGGGAGGGACTATGATTATTACCCCCTTGGATGGCTTCCCAGAGTCTGGCTTTGAAGGTTTCGACTGCGTCGCAGGCAAAGATGCTGGGGGGGGGGAAGTAAATTCCAGGCCCGTATGGTTCTTGGAAAGAAGGTGAGTCGATATATATCCGTCTTGCATCTTATGTTGGAGAAGGAGAGGGAAAGAGAAGATAAGAGGAAAGAAAGAAGAGGAAGAGGAAGAAGAATTTGTGTTCTGCCAGTGTCACAAATAGATATATAAATATGCTCATCTGACGATAATTTGATGTATAAAACCCCTCACCTTCTTAGGGCTCCGCCCCTTGGATCCAACACCAATTTGTGTCCTGCCAGTGTCACAAATAGATATAAAAATATGCTCATCTGACCGTTATTTATTGCCCAAAACCCCTGAGCTTCCGGGTGCTCCACCCCCAGACCCCACGCCAATTCGTGACCCCTGTGTCACAAATAAGGTATAAAATAATAATAATTTAATGTACAAAACTCCTGAGCTTCTGGGGGCTCCACCCCCTGGACCCAACACCAAATTGTGTCCTGCCACTGTCACAAATAAGGTATAAAATTATGCTCATCCGACGTTAATTTTGATGTTTAATACCCCTGAGCTTCTGAGGGCTCCGCCCTGTGAAAAAAACGTGTAAAAAAAAACACGTTAATTTTTTACCGTTTTTGGGAGATACCCCCCCCCCCCCCTGGCGTTCAAGGGGGGGGGGGGGTACGATTTTTCAAATTTTTGAGGGCCCCAAAAAAGATTAGTGCTCTCTAGTAATTTCGCGACTACTCCGGAACCGCGGCAGATATAAAGTTTTTCTTTCATGACTTTTTTCTTTCGAGTCTTACACATCTTTTGAAACATTTTTGTTGTTGAAAATCGGACGTATAATTGCGGAGTCACGTGACCTTTTGTTTTTGCATGTCAGCCCTAAAATCGCTCATTTTTGTGATTTATGTACCAAACATATGGAAATACCATTTATTCTTTTAAAAAAAGAGAAAACATTGGTTATTTGGTCTTGTTTCAAGTTAATGTGTTTGATTTTGGGTAAAAATAGTTGAATTGTGGTTAGAAATGAAATGAAATAACAAAATAATATAATACATAAATACAAATTATCAAAACAAGAGATAACATAGGGATAAACTGGCTCTTCCAACTTTGTTGTCGTATTATTATTCTAACGGATATATGAAGTGAAAAAGAACGCTCGAATATGAATTATATATGATTTATGGGTAAAAATGTGAATTCTCTGACCTTGTTTGCATAAATTACCATAAATATGCATTTTCGCGGCGATCGGCTGTGAAACGGCCGAGATCTTAGAAGGGGGGAGCCCCCCCCCCCCCACCCTCAAGTCCACTCCAATCACATTGAAAAAACGTATGACTTAAATCATCTCTCTCATTATTATACCGCTATAGTATTCATCTTTTTAATATTATTTATTGTCCATTAAACAAGTTCATAGAGAAAATACTTATCTCTCTGCAACATTAAAAAAGAATCTTCATTAATATGTCTTAATTTGTATTGATAGCCTTGTGGTCGCCAACAGTGGGGTAGGCAGGGGCGTATCCAAAGGGGGGTGTGGGGGTGCGACACCCCCCCCCCCCCACCTGTCAGGATATTGTCGGTAAAATTGCGCTGCCGTCGGGAAAAAAGAGAAAAGGGGGAGGGGAAAAAAGAGAGTAAAAGGGAAAGAAAAGAAAAAAAGAAAAAAGAAAAGAAAGGAAAGAAAAGAGAAGAAAAGAAAGAGAAAAACGAAAAAGAGGGAGAATAGGAAAGACAAGAGGCAAGAGCCCTTCGCCCCCGTTACCCTCTTTTCTTCTTCTTCCTCTTCTTTCTTTCCTTTTATATTCTCTTTCCATTTCCCTTTCCCTTCTCTCTCTCTCTCTCTCTCTCTCCCTTTCGCCCTTCTCCCGTTTCCCTCTTTCCTTCTTCTTCTTCTTTCTGTCCTTTTATATTTTCTTTCCCTTTCCCTTTCCCTTCTCTTTATCTCTCTCTCTCTCTCTCTCTCTACTATTTGTTGGCGGGGGGAGGAGGCAAAAGCCCTTTGCCCCCGTTTCCCTCTTTTCTTCTTCCTCTTCTTTCTTTCCTTTTATTCTCTCTCTCTCTCTCTCTCTCTCTTATTTATTTTTTGGCGGGGGGGGAGGGAGGAGACAAGAGCCCTTCGCCCTCGTTTCCCTCTTTTCTTATTCTTTTTCCTCTTCTTTCTTTTCTTTTGTATTTTCTTTCCCTCTCCCTTCTCTCTCCCTCTCTTATTTATTTTTTTGGCGGGAGGGGGGGGGGTAAGAGCCTTTCGCCCTTCCTCCCGTTTCCCTCTTTCCTTCTTCTTCTTTCTTTCCTTTTATATTTTCTTTCCTTTTCCCTATCCCTTCTCTCTCTCTCTCTCTCTCTCTCCTATTTATTTAATGGCGGGGGGGGGGGAGGAGGCAAGAGTCCTTCGCCCCCGTTTTCCTTTTTTCTTCTTTTTTTCCTTTTATATTCCTTTCCTCTTTCCCTTTCCCTTTCCCTTCTCTCTCTCTCTCTCTTTTTTTTTATTTTTTGGCGGGGGGGCAAGAGCCCTTCGCCCCCGTTTTCCTCTTTTTTCTTTCCCTTTCCCTTTCCCTTCCCTCTTTTCTTTTTATTCTTCTTCCTCTTCTTTCTTTCCTTTTATATTCTCTTTCCATTTCCCTTTCCCTTCTCTCTCTCTCTCTCTCTCTCCCTTTCGCCCTTCCCCCGTTTCCCTCTTTCCTTCTTCTTCTTCTTTCTTTCCTTTTATATTTTCTTTCCCTTTCCCTTCTCTCTATCTCTCTCTCTCTCTCTCTCTCTCTACTATTTGTTGGCGGGGGGAGGAGGCAAGAGCCCTATGCCCCCGTTTCCCTCTTTTCTTCTTCTTCCTCTTCTTTCTTTCCTTTCATCTTCTCTTTCCCTTTCCCTTCTCTCTCTGATTTATTTTTTGGCGGGGGGGGGGGGCAAGAGTCCTTCCTCCCCCCCCCCCCCGTTTCCCTCTTCTCTTCTTATTCTTCTTTCTTTCCTTTTATCTTCCCTTTCCCTTTTTTCCTTCTCTCTGTCTCCCCCATCAACATAGTAATACTAATAACGAAAGAGACCACTATGTAATCAAGACCATTCCATTTTATTTAATACATTTTCGATATACTTAAATTGGCAACTATTACCTTCTGTCCGAGATCCACATTTTAAACGACTGATGCGAAAGACTAGTCGACGCACCCTTTCGAGAAAAGCCCCCCCCCCCCCCCCCCCCCGCTTTCATCGAAAGGGTGTGTTAAAACGGAACTCCGCTCTCAACGCACCCTTTCGAGAAAAGGCCCCCCTCTTTTATCGAATGGGTGCGTTGAGCACACCACACCGCGCCGCACCGCATCGCACCCTTTCGATGAAAGCCTGTGATACCATTCGTATTGATGGGAGGAACGTGCCCATTAATTCACGGCATATAATTATCTTTCACTTCTTGTGCCTTTGCTTGAGGCAATCTAACAGTCATACTCTCAGTGTTAAGAATAAAGCCAAGAAAGGCTAGTTCACGTGTTGGGATGAGCACTGATTTTGTAGTGTGAATGATGAAACCTAATTCTGAGAGAATCTTGGTTGTTGCTCTCCCACTCTCTTTAAGCTTTTCTTTTGTCTCACCAATAATTATGGTGTTGCCCAAATATCCTATGACTGTATGACCTGCTTGTCGCAGTTCGGCAAAGACTGGCTTCAGCAATTTTGTCAACAGTCTTGGGGCTGTGCTGAGCCCATTAGGTAGGGCTGCAAATTGCCAGCGCTCACCCTGCCACATGAACCTCAAGTATTTTCTACTATGGGGGTCTACTGGAATGGAGTAATAAGCATCTTGGAGGTCGATTGATGCAAGATAACAGTGCGGAGTAATCAAGTGCTTGGCAGTGTGGATGTTAACCATCTTAAAGTGTTGTACGTTCAAACTTTGATTAAGCTCCGAGTCTAAGATCATACAATAAATTCAAATTCATACGAGTACCCCCATCTTTCTTGGGTCTCGTGAAGATGTTTGAGAGGAATTCTCCCTCTTCAAATGAGCAAGGTTCTATTACGTTTTTTGCTTGTAGAGCCAAGATTTCTTTAGTAATCTGATTCATTTCTAAAGGGCACTTTTTGTAACCATAGAGGGGCTTATTTCTTGAGGAAACCCCTTTCGAATGATCAAATTTAATCTCATTGCCTCGTACCGCTGATAGCAGAAAAAGATCTGACGTTAATTCACGCCATCTACGATAGAAATATATCAATCGACCTCCAACAGGCACAATTGAGATGCATTTTTGTTGTAATGTACATGAAGTAGAAGGAGCATTAATCTTAACATTCTCAAAACATTCATATGTCCTACTTACCTCTTTGGGTAATGGTGTAGCTATTTCCTCCTTGCTGCCTGTGGCCGCTGGAAGGATTGGGTCTGTTTCCCCATGCTCATTGTCTGGGTGTGAGGCGGAGCTATGTATGGTCTGCCTCGTTGGGTTCGCTGGCCTAAAAAAGGCCTGTCGTAGTTCCCATTTGCGGGCCTGCTACTTGGAAAAGTTTGTGATGTGCCGGTGGCACGCTTCCATCCTTGTCTGCGGTATTGAAAAATGCTGGACGCTTGCGTCCTGTACGGATGGTACTGGGGACGGGGTGTACGTTGTCCACGCACCATGCCAGATGCAGCTTTTTGTTGTCCTGTAAGATCTTTGACTCTTTTTGTTAAGTCATCGCCAAATAAGTACTGACTCAAGGTGTGGCAGGTTTGCATAGATGTGAGTACTTGGCATTTAAGTCTGGCTTGATCTGTTCTTTGCGTAAGCAGTTGATTTCAAAGTTTGTGTTACACAGCAATGCCAATGCATCCTGTTGCAGGCGCGGATCCAGGATTTTCCAATAGGGGGGGGGGGGCCGGAAATTCGAAATTCGCGCAGACCGTTATTTAAACTTACCAATACTGACAAGGTCATATTAGAAGCACTGTACTTTAATAGTGTACTGGTACCTACAAGCGGGCACAATTATTTTGGAAAGGGGACATGCTCACGTCACATCTCTTGTCCGATATCAACATTCCCCGTTTTTAAGTTATGCTCGCGCCTAATTTTTTTGACATTTCCATCAGTGGGGGCTGAAGCCTCTTGCCCCAATATCTATTTCCTGGTTTAATAATTTGGCGAGTGAGCGGAAATTTGAGCTTATGTATGTTGTGAAAAGTGTTAATTGTCACCAAAATATACGAGATAAGATATAACAAATGCATATTGGTAATTTTTAAATTTTCGGGGAAAGAGAGGCTGCAACCCCATCCCGCAATAACTGCAGGTGTTTTGAAATCAAATCAGACTCCCCAAAAAAGTATTAACCAAAACGCACGAATCCTGTTTCAAAAATCCAAACAATTTCAGCTTCAGAGGGGGGCACATCACCCCTCAGACTCCCTCTAAAAGTATTAACCGAATCGCACGAATCCAGGTAAAAAAAAAAATCAGCTTCAGAGCTAGAGAGGAACCCCCCCCCCACCTACACACACACGCACACACACACAGACACCCCCTGTGCACGCAAGCGTGAAATTAACGCTGGCGCTAATGCGTAAGCAGGGGCGGCGGAGCTATTTCCAAAGTGGAAAGCACCAACAAAAAAGGGCACCTACAAAGCAAAATCTCAAAGCGAAAATATCCATTTTTTTTAGACATTGGTATATACCCTTTCATTGTGATTCCATTATCAGGGACGATTTCAATATTTGTTTTTCTTTATATATCATACAAGATATTGCTTAAGCATCACACTTTCGGCTGGGTGTGATTGTCTGAATATTCATTTGCGAGCGAGCAAAGCGAGCGAGAAAAAATGTAAGATCTGTGAGGTCGCAGAGTGAAAAATTACATCTTATAAAGAGGAAAAAACCAAATCATGATGGGGTTATAAGCATCACGGAAGACTGAAAAAACATTGTTTTAAAGTGACATATAATTGTATCATCTATAAATGCGAGCGAGCGAGCGACCTTTTAGGGGAAATTACTCTTAGTCGCTTTAAATTAGGTGCAAGACTAATGATGAGCAGGTTAGGGGCACGTGCCCCTCCCCCCCCCCCCGTGCCTACGTGCGAAAGGGATAAAGACACTTATTAGAAAAGAAAAGGAGCATGTGTCAAGGTACAAAGAGTAATTATCAAAGGTTCAAACGGGGCACTTCTTACACCTGAAAGGAGGCACTCACCAGAAATGAGATAGGGCACTTATGAGTATGGGAAATGGGCATTTGTTGACGGAAAAGGGGCATCCATCAGAATTTGATTTATCAGAGGTGAAAAGGGGCATTTATGAAAAGGGGATAGGTCCCTTATTAGAAAGGAAAAGGGGCACGATTCAAAATAAAAGGGCAGTTAGCAAAGGTGAAAATGGGCACCCATCACAGATGAAAAGAGTACTTATCAGGAGGGGAAGGGGTACTTTTCAAAGTAAAACGAGCATCTCTCAGATTTGAATAGGGGCAATTATCGGAGGTGAAGAGCGCACTGAAGTAAAAAGAATTAACTTCTCATATATGAAAATGGTCATTTACCAGAGATGAAAAAGGACACTTTTTATTTATGAAGGGCCTCATTTTTCTAAATAGCCCTTATCAGATAGGAAAGGGGGCATATGTGTTGATGAAATGTGCGCTTATCCGAGTTAAAAAGGGGAAGGGGCACTTCTTTACAAAGTAAAAGTGGCCCTTTGGGGGGGGGAAGTACTTGAAGAGTGGGGCGAACTTTGCCCCCTACCCCTGCCACCCGGCCCACCATCTGAAAATCCAAAATGATGTTGTAGGGGCCGGGCGCGGCTTTATCATGAGTGCTTTTATGTGAACCTCTTTTTTATAAATATATTATGCTGGATTCCGACCCAGATTGCACACTCTAAAATGATAGTATGATCATCCCAATACGCTTGTAGTTCACGTATGCACCCCTTCCTCCTAATCCGTCGTTACCGTCACTGCCATTTATGTATGGCCGGCCGGCGTATTTTTTATTTACACGCTAGCGAGGGGAATTTCTCGATTAATTCCAATGAAACCGCTCGCGAAGAGTCTAGCCTAGATCGGAGAGCTCGCTAGTGCTATACGCTAGTGTGAATTTACATCCAGGAGAAAGTTTGCTTAACTTTTTCTTGAAACACTTGAACGGTTATGGAAACTGTTTGTGTTTCTAATCTCCAAATATTAACATTATTCTGCATCAAATATAAAACATTGATTTCTACTGTGATATGTAAAGGCACGAACTTACGTTAATACCTTCACATTTTTTTTTTGGTAACCAAGAAGGTGCACCATGGTAATACATTTTAACAAACACATCAACATGTTACCTAGACAACTCATCACCATAGCCATTGTAAAACCATATATTAATGATACATGTAAAATATAGATTGAAGCAATTCTCGTCAGTTGGCTGTATCCTGAGTGTGATTTATATAATGGATTTTGAGTAACATTTGCATCTACCTGTAGTTGAAGAATAGATACAGTTTATAACATCAATTAAGTTGGAGTTCAATTGGAAGGAAGTAACGAGGAATATTGAAGCAAGGGAGACTGGGAGGAAAGCAGGAAGTTAGAAATTGAGAGATTACTCGCGAGATAGCCTTGCATTAATGAATCCTTTATATAATGTTGTCTTGAGAGAAAGTAGACGATTTTTTTTTAATTGGAGATTAGTGCAAGTATTAGATATATTGGAAATAGAATTAATGAGAAAGTTATTATTTTATCAAGATCAATACATGGGGGGGGGGGGGCACCATCAACATAGGGCACTTTCTGGAATATATATAAGGTGCACCTACAAAGGGAAACATCAAAATGTAAATCTACCATATTAAGACATTGATAGACGTACGCGTAACGCATGTCACACATAGAAAAATGAGAAGAAAAGAAATAATAATGTTTTTTAAAAAGAAGATAGAGGAAAAGAAGAGAGACAGAGAGAGGTAGAGAAAGAAAGAAAGAAAGAAAAAAGGAAGAACATGAAACTTAACTTTACACTTAGGCCTACATATATTACATTTCCGACTGAGTTGGATCGACATGTGCTTAAGTAGTCTGCGGACGAAAGTACAACAATACGAAAACAGAAGTTATATGAAATTGTCTTTAAGAGAGAAAAAGAGGTTAAATTCTAAAATGAAATGAAAGGGGTTATGTTACTCTCAAGGAGGAAATTACAATTTCTATCGCTCATGACGACTATTTGGAATTTCCTAAAAAAAAGTTAAAGTTCAAGAACTTCCTGGGGCTCCGCCCCATGCAAGACTCCCGGCAACAGCAAATTATTTACACAATTTCTTGCTGTCTGCTGCCTCGAGATCACTGGAGCGAAGAAAGGTAACATATAGCAAGAATCCCTATTCAGTGAAGGATTTATCCCTTTTATTATTAAAGACCCCCGACATAGGCTCTCCCCCTGCAAAATTGGAGAGAATTTTATGTAGTTAAGCTTCTAACAACCACGCCCGTGGACCTTTTATTATTTACACAAAGGTAAAAGTGTATAGCAAGAATCCCTATTCAAGTGCGTTTCTAACTCAATGGCCCGAATTCACAAAGCAAGGTTTGAGCTCAAACCTCCTTTTGTTTCGCCAAACCTCCTCTTGTTCTTTACAAACCAGGTTTGTAAAAAAATGCGTAAAACGCGTCATATGACGTATGAAAACCAAGGTTTGTCGACAAACCTTCTTTGTGAATTCGGGCCAACGATATGGGCATCATCCCATTCAATGTTGTGTCCAGTATTACGGGTTTGTTTTGCTACTTGCTGCCTAATCTGAGGGCTCTGTTGTGCTCTTTAAAAAGAGGACACAATAGGGGAAGCGCAATTTAAATATCAAGGAATGTATTAGAATTTATTTCTAAAATGAAATGAAAGGGATATTTGACTTTCAAGAGCAATAAAAACTCTAATCCATCCCTTGAAATTTAAATTGCACTGCCCCCATTCAGTGTGGTATTTTCAAAGAGCACAAAAAGGCTTCAGATTGAAGATTCCATCTCATAAAATTGTCTATAAGAGAGAAAGAGAGTTTATTTCAAGAGAAAAAAATGAAATGAAAGGGCTATTTGACAAGGGCCCTTTCATTTCATTTTAGAAATAACCTCTCTTCCTCTCTTATAGACAATTTTCTCTCTTGAAAGTCAATAACCCTTTCATTTCATTTTAGAAATAACCTCTTTTTTTCTCCTAAAGACAATTTCTCTCTTGAAAAGGCTCTGCCAGGCCCCTCAAGCTCTGCCATGTTGTATGGATCCATTAGAAAGCAAAATAAGCCCACTCAAACTTCATAGCGATTCATCCAAATAAGAAATCCACGTAAGAGGCATTTTGAAAGTTTTAAGAAAATTCCTTCAAATTCCAGGATATTGGATGTTATTTTTCAGGAAACTCTATTTAAACGAGTGGAAGCACTGGCGGTTCTGTTTTTTTTAAACTGTAACAATTCTCCTTGGATCAGATATAGACCAAAAACAAGCCTCATTGTCTTCAGTATACAAGTGTCATTTCGGACCTTACAGCTTTCATAGAAATCGCTTCTGGACCGTCAAAGAAAAAGTTTGAGAACTCCTGGTCTACGCATTATACACATCAGGACCAACTTGACAACTTGACAAAAATTTGAGGGGGGTTCGACCCCCCCCCCCCCCCCCCCCCCCCTGCGTACGCGCCTGCATGTGCATCCCTTCCTCCTTATTCCCTTATCCATCGTTACCGTCACTACCATTTTAGTAGGGCCGGCCCGCGCATATTTTTTTACACAACTGTTTAGCCACTTTAGTCAAATATACTGTGCAAACGACTAGAGACAGAGTCTAGCATTACCCTTATCAGTTTTGTTGGATTGCTGGAGCATGATTGTGTACAATACTTTGTTTCGGGTTAAATCCCCGGGTTAAATCTATCCTCTCTTCTCTTTCATTATATTTCTGTGTTCTCCTTCAGTCTATCCTCTTCTCTTTTGTCATGTATTTCTTTCTTTTTTCTTCAATCCATCCTTTTTCTACCCCCAGTTCTCCTTCGTCATGTATTTTTTTGTTCTCCTTTATTCTAAATTTTCTAACCTCTTCTCTTTTGTTTTATGAATTTCTTTGTTTCTCCTTCAATCTATCCATTTCTCCTTCGTCGTCTTTATTTCTTTGCTTTAATCTAGATTCCCTTTCTCCTTCTTTATGTATTTCCCTGTTTTTCCTTAGTCTAGATATGTGATCCACTTAGCTCTTCAATTAAGTTCTTCCTTTGACTTATCCTCTTCTCTTTCCTTATGTATTTCCTTGTTTTTCCTTCTCCATATCCTCTCCACTATCCTTGTTTGCCCCTTTCTATCATCTTCCCTTCCCTGAGTGTACGTGCTGACGACTTAGACTCTTTCACCAGAGCATTTCTTGGAATTTTTTCGTGAAAATGGCTAAACAGTTGTGTAAAAAAAATATGCGCGGCCGGCCGGCCCGCCCCCTCCTTTTAACGACTCCCAAGCCATCAAGAATGACCCCATAATTTATGGATTACCATTCTGCCGTTCTTTGGAGGGGCCGGGCGCGGCCTTTTCAGAAGTGTTTGTACACTAACCTTTTCATGCACTACGGCTTAACATAAACAAGCATGCTAAGACTTTTTTGAAAAGAAGCATAATTTCGACTCAGTTTCGCATAACCTAAAAATAAGAATACGGCCAGTCACCCCTCCCCCCCCCCCCCCTCCCCTCAATGCATCCGCCTTTACGCACCCGGCTAATTAGTATTTATATGGACCACCCTTCCTGTATACTTCTCCCCTTGTTCTAATTAAGAAACAGTACTTCACTAGATCTAGATTTCTTTTTTTTTTTTAAACCGAAAGCTTCTACCTGTACAACTCCTCTTAAATTGTGAGTGTAAGAGACAGGCACTATAAATCCGGTTATTATCATCATGATCTGCACTTGGTATTCAAGGTATTATATTCAAGTAGCAGTAGGCCCTAGCACTATCTAAATCTAGGCCTAGGCCTAGACTAGACTATAGGTCAACAGGAAGTCATGTAAAACACAATAAACAATTCTCCATTTACAGTACTTACAGCTAGCTTGGACTGTATGACTAGTAGTAGATACGCTTGGCCAAGCGTAGTAGTACGTGTCTATGCAGGCTCCGACGTAGTGGCCGTGGATAATTCATTCACGGTATTATATAAGAAGTTGAGTAGCTGAGAGATCCCCAAATCAAGCCTCGTAAATTCAAATTTCTTCTTAAGATTATAGAAGCCTATAAGTACTATTTCACATTTGTAACATGTGTTTCTGTTACTGTGTATTAAAAGCATACTGTATAAAGTATAAGCTATACAATATGCAACCAACTTTTTCTGCAATCAAGACTCATGCAACCAACAATAAAGAGTAAAACTAAAAGTAACAGTGCTGACGGCCAGGCTGCGGACGGTACTCCCTCACCCTCCTCGTTTTGTATGTATACCAAGGAAGAAGAATCGGTTACGCAACTGACACGTACGTACGTCAGTGCAGTCAATAGGCCTACGTGGGGTATAGCTAGGTTTATGTATTCCAATGGTCTTTGATCCAATATGTCACGAGTTTGCCTTTTCATCATTACTTGTTCGGTTGATTTCACAAGTGGATGATCATATATTTCTGTGACTGTATACGTGTTTCACAAACATACGTGTTTCACAAACATTATGCTGTATACCCAGGCGCGGGGAGGGGGGGGGGGGGGGGGGGGGGGGGGGGGGGGGGGGGGGGGGGGGGGGTAAGAGGTCACTTTTTTTTTCTTTCTTTTTTTGGTCCCAAAAAATCGCATCGACTCAGCCGACCGCTGAATAAGCGGGGGGGGGGGGGGGTAAGAGGACACTTTTTTTTTTTTTGGTATCGAAATTTGAAAATTTGACATTTTGTCAAAAAAAAAAAAAAATCCAAAGGGGAGGGTTTTAGGGAAATTAAGGGGGGGTTTACACACACAAAAATACCAAAGGGAGGGGTTAACCCCCCAAACCCCCACCCCCCCCCCCCCCCCCCCCCCCCCCCCCCCCCTGTGTACGCGCCTGTGTATACCTAATCAAAATACACGTACACATGTATTTATGATGATAATTGCATGATATTATAGCAGGCACGGATCAAGGGGGCCGAGCGGGCCTTGCCCCCCCCCCCGCAAAAAAAGAGAAAGAGAGAGAGAGAGAGAGAAGGAAAAGAAGGGAAAGGAGAGAGGAGAGAAAGGGGAAAAAAGAAGAGGAAGAAGAAACTAAAATAGGGAAGAAGGAGATCGGGGGGGGCAAAAGGACTTGCCTCACTTTATGCGTTTGTTGGAAAATGACAAATTCTTAAATTTACAGCCAGGCAAGAAAATGCTTCTTGAGATGCCTACATATGCGGGGATCGGGATCATCGAGCCCCCCCCCCCCCCCACCACACTTTCTTTGAAAAAGTATATTAAAGAGAAATAGAAAGAAAGAAAGAGAGCGAGAAAGAAAAAAAATAGTGTCACATCATAATGGGGTATCAAAATATGCTCATCTGACCATGATTAAATGCCTAAAACCCAAGGGCTCTGCCCCCCTGGACCCTAGGGCCCTAAGGAGGGCCCTTAGATGCTCATATGACGGTCATTTAATGCCTAAAACCCCTGATTTCTGGGGGCTCTGCCCCCTGGACCCCACGCCAAATAGTGTCCTGCCAGTGTCACAATTAATAAGGTATCAAAAATGCTCATCTGACCGTAATTAAACCCCTAAAACCCCTGAGCTTCCGGGGGCTCTGCCCCTGGACCCAACCAAGAGCCCTTAGGCGGGCCCCCTGATACTCATCTGACCGTAAATTAAAACCTTAAATCCTTGAGCTTCCGGGGCGGACAAGGTATCAACATATGTTCATCTGACCGCAGGCGCGTAGCCAGGGGGCGGTGGGGCGGTACCCCCATAAATGCCGGCCCTAAAAAGAAAGGAGTGAAAAGGAAAAGGACGTAGGAAGAAAAGGAAATAGACAAAGAACATTTTTGAAATTCAGACAAGGATTAAGAGTCGAGAACGGTACAACGAATCGTCTTCTTTCTCTAAGGATAATGAAACGTCAAAGTTTCCGCGCTTCGCGCGGGGGAGGGGGAGGGGGAACTTAATTCAGACGAGGATAATTTTCGAGAACGGTACAACGAATTGTCTTCTTTCTATAATAATTTAATGAAACGTCGAAGCTTCCGCTCTTCGCGCGGAAGGGGGGAATTAATTCAGACAAAGATTAAGAGTCGAGAACGGTACGACGAATCTTCTTCTTTCTCTAATGATTTAATGAAACGTAAAATGAGGGAAAACTGAATTTAGACGAGGATTAAAAATCATAACGGTATACAACGAATCGTCTTCTTTCGCTAATGATTTAATGAAACGTAAAAGCTTCTGCGCTTCGCGAGGGTGGGGGAAACTAAATAATTTCGAGAGCAGAACAACGAATGGTCTTCATTCTCTAAGAATTTAATGAAACGTCGAAGTGAGGGGGAAACTAAATTAAGACAAGGATTAAGAGTCGGGAACGGTACAATGAATCGTCTTCTTTCTCTAATGATTTAATGAAACGTCGAAGCTTCCGCGCTTCGCGCGGGAGGGGGAAACCGAATTTAGATAAGGATTAAGAGTCGAGAACGGTACAACGAATCGTCTTCTTTCTCTAATGATTAAATGAAACGTAAAAGCTTGGGGGAACTGAATTTAGACGAAGATTAAGAGTCGAGAACGGTACAACGAATCCTCTTCTTTCTCTAATGATTTAATAAAACGTAAAAGCTTTCGCGCTTCTCGTGGGATGGGGGGAAACATAATTCAGACGAGGATTATTTTTGGGAATGGTACAACGAATCGTCTTCTTTCTCTAATAATTTATGGAAATGTCAAAGCTTCCGCGCTTCGCGGAGGAGGGAGGGGGAAAACTCGCCCCTCCCTGCACTCACCCACCGATCGAGAGAAGGAAGAAGAAAAGAGGGGAAGAGGAGAAATAGGAGGGGGAAAGGAAGAAAGGGAAGAGAGAGGAGAAAAAGACGGAAAAGAGAGAAATGAAAGAGAGAGGAGAGAAAAGACGGAAAAGGGGGGAAAGGAGAATAATAAGAAGGGGGAAAAATAAAGGAAGAAAGACGGAGGAGAGAAAAGGGGGGAAAGGAGAAACAGGAGGGGGAAAGAAAGAAGGGAAAGAGAGAGGAGAGAAAAAACGGAAAAGGAAGAAAGGGAGAAAGACGGAGGAGAGAAAAGGGGGAAAAGGAGAATAATAAGAAGGGGGGAAAAGAAAGGGGGGTGGTATTAAAAGAAGGTGTGAATAATATGGGGCCCTCTTGCCAGGCGTGTAGCCCCTCCCCCCCCCCCACCCCACATTGCTGTTTATATTTATACATATTTGATTGTCTATTATGTGATAGAAATACGACCATATACGAAATTAGTAGATCATTGATTGTTTTTTTACCATTATTATTAATCTTGATGGAATTAAGGAGGCTATTGTAAAATACATTTATTTATTCCCATTCTCACTGTCTCCCACAAGTCTGGAATGGGAAAAGGGTTGAGCTGTCGGGATCATCTAAATTTGGTAATCGTAAAACATGTATATTGTCTTACTATCATCTAGTAAATATTTATATTTTCTTTTCTTTCTTTCATTTGAAAAGAAAAGGGGGAAAATTGTATAAAGTATTACGAGAAATATAATTTATTCTCATCCCTGTATTATATTGCAGGTGAGACATGCAGTAGTTGTGTCACTCCTGATTATTGTTATCTTTACTCTTACACTCAATTATCGATGTTACACTATAACTTTGATTTGTTTTTCTTCCAATGTACAAAACTTGAGAATTATTCTTTGGATTGAAATCAATTTATAAGAATAATGGGATAACAACAGGGCTCAACAGCCAATCAAAATCAAGGTTTCCATGGTAGTTACCATTGATGGCAAAGTTACCGTCAATGGTAAGTTTTGTGCAACGGGGCCCTGGGGCGTCGCTAAAGGCAGGATAATATTGTCGGTAACATTGCGCCAGTGCTGTCAAGAAAAATGAGAAAAGGGGGAGGGGGAAATGAGAGGGAAAGGGAAAGAAAAAAAGAAAAGAAAAGGGAAAATGAAAGAGAAGAGAAGAAAAAAACAGAAAAAAAGAAGAGAAAAGGGAAATGAAAGAGAGAGGAGAGAGAGTGAGGGGGGGGGGGTAAGAACCTATAAGAGGAAAGGGAGGCGAGGAAGAGAGAGAGAGAGAGGAGATGTTGAGTGGAGTCATTACGTCGATGGGGGCAAGAAAGAGACGCATAGATAATTATGTTGCTGTGTCGGATCCGCTGTGACGGTATTCTTGCTCGATCCTCGTGTTTGAAGTCGGTGACATGCAGGCGCGTACGCAGGGGGTAGTTTTGGGTTTAACCCCCCCCCCCCCCTCGAGTTTTTTTTATGTGTATGTTTTATGTATGTTTTTTTGGAAACCCCCCCCCCCCTTTTGATTTTAAACCCCCCCCCCCCCCCCTTGAAAAAATCCTGCGTACGCCACTGGTGAAATGTAAATGTCGGTCGGCCTGCAAATTATTTTCCCTACAAACTGTGACTTTTTATCGGACAAAGAAATATTTTTGAAAATTCTGAAGATGATGAAGAGTCGGTACAACGAATCGTCTTCTTTCTATGATAATTTAATGAAACGTCAAAGCTTCTGCGCTTGGCGCGGGAGGGGGCGGGACTGAATTCAGACAAGGATTATGAGTCGAAAACAGTAAAACGAATCGTCTTCTTTCTCTAGTAATTGAATGAATCATCAAAGCTTCCGCGCTTTGCGCGGGAGGGGGGAAAACTGAATTCAATGAATCGTCAAAACTGAATTCGGACAAGGATTAAGAGTAGAAAACGGTACAACAAACTCAATTAAGCGTCTTCTTTCTCTATAATGATTCAATGAAACATCAAAGTATCCGCGAGCTGAATTCAGGCATGGATTAAGATCGAGTCGAGAAAGGTTCAACGAATCGCCTTCTTTCTATAATAGTAGGGACTTTTAGATTGAGTGGACGAGAACACGACGAACACCGACTGATCATGCGTGTCAACGTACTTAACTGCCCATGTTGACTACAATTAGAAATCTTTTAGATTGCACTCGACGATATACATGCATGCAGGTAGTAACACTATGAACATCACGGACAAAGAAAGAGGACAAAATATACAGTTCCTCATTCTACCCTCAACAAAAGAACAGCCCTTCACTGCTATTATGTAAAAATGTGTAGAACAGGTGAATATGCATGTGAAACCTGTTCTACTAATAGCAGGAAAGGGATGTTCCTTTGTCTATCTGAGGAACTGTATATTTTATGCGCACGCGGCATACTAATACCTTGAGCATGTAAAGGCGCTTAATAAACAAATATAAATATGTATGTATGTATGTACTAGATTTAGGAAAATCAAGGTTGACGCATTCTCGATCGCCGACTGAGACGACGTA